TCGCCCTCCTCATGTGTGCTTGCTGGGTGTATGCCCCCAGCACATCACTCATTTTGAGGTGGGCCATGTCCCTTGTGCTAGTGGTGGTGCCTGAGTCATGTGGCCAGGTTGCTGTAACTTGGTTGAGAGCATTGGGCAGCAGGGTGTATATGTGCGCGTGTGTGCGCGCATGCATGCGCATGGGTGCATGTGTACACTTGTGATAAGATTCAGATCATGCCATGTGCTAGATCCTGTGTATGTGAATAAGTTTAGTGCTAGTGTGAGCTCTGGGGTAGGTGTTGCAGCAGGCTTGCCACCCAACATGAACATGCTTGTCAGCTCCTTGCACAAATGTCCTTGTCCTGGCTACTGGCTTCAGCTTCGCCTTTTTCCTGTTGGTCCTCTCCTGCTTTGACACTTGTCCCTTCTGTAGGTAGAGCTGTGAGTATGGGCTGTATGGTGATTCTAAATGAATAGAATGTGGTGTATGTGACTTCTGATCCTGGTTATGCTGTTCCTGAAATTTTAAACACTAGCTTTCCTCTTGGCTTGCACTCAGTGTTACCCAAACACTAATGACACAAGGGATGAAGGCTTCCTGCCAACAGGGGAGTGATGGTCCTGTGATACCTGCAAGGTGCTGGATGCCCACAGCTCCACCTATACTTGGTTGGCCTCTTGAGAGACCCGGAGCCACAGTCACGGAGCCAAGCTGCTCCTGAGTACCAGTGCATAGAGACAACAAGACACGGATTGTTTGTTGTTGAAGCTACGGAGGTTTAGAAATGGGTGACTAACTTGGGTGTCCAGAGGCTCTCAGCATGTGGCAGGTCCGTCACCTGCTTCCTCTTCCCCTTTCTGCTGCTCAGAATGCCCAACAACCAAGAGCAAGTGAAGGAATGAACTCCTTCAAGTCCAGTGTGCACATGTCTCTTCTTGGAGTTTTCTGTGAAACAGTAACTATCAGTACTTTTGTAATTACTGCACTTTTGACTGGAGAAGGAAGGCTAAATCTCATTTGCTGGGGTGTGACAAGTACTTGCTGAAAAGTCTGTTATTTTGAATGACAGATTCTGTATCTGTCTTAGCCAGCTAAGAGGTGTTAACTTCTACTGTCTCATGTTAATATGGTCTTGCCTGGCACCAGTGGCTCATGCCTGTAATCCTAGCTACTCAGGAAGCTGAGATCTGATGATGATCATGGTTTGAAGCCAGCCTGGGCAGAAAAGTCCCCATGAGACTCTTATCTCCAATTAACTACCAGAAACCTGAAGTGGAGCTGTGGCTCAAAGTGGTAGGTGGTTGGCCTTGAGCAGAAGAGCTCAAGGACAGCCCATACCCTGAGTTCAAGCCCCACAACTGACAAGACAAAACATACACACACAGAGATCTTATTCTGAATGATTGAATGTGTTTTGTTGTGTTTTGTTTTTGAGATGAATTCTCTAGTCTTCAGCAGTCATAAAGATGATTACTTTGCTGGAAGGCACCACATTTCTGTGCCCTATGACATTAGAAGCTTTTTTTTTTTTTTTTTAATACCAGTTCTATGTAGCTGCATGTAGACAGTGCTGCTCCAAGCCTCTTTGTTCTAGAATCTGGGCTATTGGGGCAACTCCATTTTGGTCTTTGACTTTCTTGTTTAAAGGAATAGGACAGGGAGTCTGGTTGAAACGCTTCCTGAGAACTGTGTGGATCAGGTCCTTGGAGCTCACATGTCATTGGCCACAGTGAGTCAGGTGGCTGCAGACTATTGCTCAGGGAATGTCACATCTAGTGAAGGTGTGCAGTGGGAAGTGGGAAGATAGCATGCGGAGTGTGAGAGGTCCAGGTGGGATCTGCATGGTGAAAGCATCTCTATTTATAACTGTTTCTTTTAAGACACAGCCATTCCCTGTCTGGAGAGAGGGTTTTGCATCTGGGAACTTAGCTCCTTATGCTTACTTGAACACCTGAGGACTGTCAGGAGCATACCGGACCAGTCCCGTCCCATCTTCCTGCTATGTCAGATGTTCCTTCAGGACCTAAGCTTGATGTTTTTACAAATAACCAAATGAAATAAAATACTTCAGAGAAATGGCAAGGTGAAAGCTAGAGGTCAAGTCTGGATGAGGTAACGAAGTCTCTGAGGCTTGATTATAGGGTCTAGGAAGCCTGTGTGGTGGGTGCTGCAAGACCAGAAGGCTGGGTGGCAGGGAGAAGGAACACAGCCATTCGTTTGGTCAAGGAGGAGGTGTCTTCAAGGATTTTCATCTCTAGAGTCACCAAGGAGATCCGTATGCACGGCTCATAGAGACAGGGACTGCTCCTGAGGCCACCTAAGAAAGGCTGTGGGTCGGTAGAACCTGCCTCCTTCCCCTTTTGCTCTCTGTTCTTCCACGAGTGGAATCTGTGGCTCTTTGGGACATACCATTAGGGCAGCTGAGTGGAGGCCTGAGGACTAAGTCCAGTGCATTTTATCTGTCTTGTATACTGAATGACCCCAGGGAACAATTGGCAGGTTTTAACCTGGTGGTAATTCTCTGGTTCACACTAATGGATTTCTTAAGAAAAGAGGCATTTCTGTGAAAGTTCTAAGGAGACTGACCTTAATCCCTTAGTGGGAACTTTTTCTGTGCTGAGATTTTTCCTGCTTTTTGCTTTTTGTTGCCTACATTTCTGTTTTCAGGAATTAGTCTGTAATGTTCCTTGGAGAAGCACTGTAGTCAGGATGTCATTGGCTTAGGATGTGCCCTCAGGCATTTCTCTTTTCTCCTCTCATTGTGCACCTTCCTGTGAGGAAGGGGCTGTGTGTGTCCACCAAGTTCTGACATCATGCCTGCAGTGATTGGTGGGCAGCTTGTGCCAGTCCAGCCCTTCCTGGTATCCCAGTGACACAGCTATCTAGCGCTGGAATAACAGGAAGTCTCCATTCTCACATCCTGTCGTCTGGGCTTTGTGACTGCAGCCTCACCACCATGAAGGTTAGTGGATATTTATACATGTGTTTCTTATAGAAGTTTCCAGGAGTTTCTACAAGGAGATTATCAGAGCTGAAGAATATAAGACAGTCAGTTTACATTTAAGGGAAATTTCTTGATTTTACACATGAGGCTGAGGCCTATTAAGATTCATATGTGTAGTTCTTTAAAAAGATTCATTTGGGTTGGCCCAGATGGAGCTGACTTTTTTCATAAATCACAGGCATCACACACATTAAACTGAATCATAAGGTAGTTTTCAGTACTGAGTTCTAAGGAATGTTTTGTAGTTGGACTGTTGCTTCATGAGATCCGGCCAGGTGTGAAATGCCCAGATACAGTCACATCTTTGTTTTTTACATTTGATAGTTCTATTTGATTCTTTTTCCTGAGCTTTACTCAGCATGCCATGTTTTTGGCCCTTTCTGGGCTGTCTGGTGAATGGGACCTCTTTCCTGAGATAGTTTTCCTGCTCGCTGTGTAGTCTTGTTAACATAGATGTGCCTCATGATTCTGTACTCATTTCAAAAATTGTACACAGAAGAACAGTGATGAGGTGGGTTTTGAGAAGGCTACAATGAGTAGTGGGCTTGGAACTGTTATTTCCCAGGTCTCCGTGACCATCTTTCCCCGTGGCAGATGGCCTGTGGGTGGCATGGAAGCCGTTGGGCAGGTGTTGGCCAGGCACCAGGGCTGTGTGTGGCCCCTGTAGGGTTTACCCTCCATGGCATGCAGGCCTGGACAGCGGCTGTGGACTTACTCTGTGACAGATGCTCTGGGGTGAGCTTGTTAAAGAGTCAGTGAGGCTCTCCAGGCAGAAGGTTCCTGCAGGAAGAGAGATGAGTAAGACTCAGCTAGGAAGAGGGGGCAGGGGGAGGCAGGAAGAGGAGGAGAAGGGGCCTGGAGAAGGAACCAGGAAGGAGGCACCAGCCTAGAAGGAGGGTGAGGTGCCAAGCTGGCTGGGCACTGAGGGTCAGGTGTGTTCCTTTGTGCCTCATGGAGAGAGAAAGTATGATAATGCCATGTACATTTGAATATCAAGTTATGTTTTTCTGATATTTGCACCTCTGAGATGTTTTTCATAATTTTTCTGAGATAGCATTGTGGATGATTTGTTGATTAAAATTATTTAGCAATTAAAAGTCATATATCGGGGGCTGGAAAGGTGGCTCAGTGGTAGAGTGCTTGCCTTGCATACATGAGGCCTGGGGTTCAATTTCTTAGCACCACATAAACAGAAAAAGCTGGAAGTGGTGCTGTGGCTCAAGTGGTAGAGTGCTAGCCTTGAGCTGAAGAGTTGAGGGACAGTGCCCAGGTCCAGAGTTCAGGCCCCAGAGTTCAGGCTCCACAACCGGCAAAAAAAAAAAAAAAGTGACATACCAACTTTACATAGCATTTGTCTGAGCACACTATTATGTGTATGTGCACTCACGTATGCACACAAACACTCTTAACTCTGATACCCTGCAAACTCCACTTGTTCATGTCTAACAGGTCAGTACCTTATTGCTCTTGTGTCTTGTGGCTGATGCAGCCATAGAACATAAATGCTCAGGTGTGCGGATCCCAGCTGTCTACCCACACGCTCCCACAGCTCCAACTAGTGTTGTGAGGTACCTATCCTGCCCCATGCTGACACTTCAGGGCCCACAGTCCTACTTCTCTAGAGCCCTGCCCTGGGGACCATCTGTCTTTCCCTGGCCTCATCTTATCTCCTAAATAGAATATCTGTACCATGTCTTAACCCTGTAGCCTTTTCATAATTTGAAGAGACAGAGCCACAGGCTTCTGCTGAGCCTTTTTTAGCCCTTGCATCCAGGTGGCCCCTGCCCTGTGGGGGAGGGAGCAGGCTGGGGCTGGTGGGCAGGCAGCTGGTGGTCATTCATAAATGTAGGCTGGTAGAGACTGGGTCATTCATGAGTGTAGGTGTCGCAGACTAGGCTGTCTTGCAGAGAATTGGGCTCCTTGGGATGCTCCTGTACCCCCTCATGTTGCAGGAGAGCTCTGCTTGTCCTTTGTCCTCAGTTCTAATTGTGCTTGTTTAATTTTTTCTTTCAGACATTTGATGCAAATGATTTATATCAGGGGCAGAATTTTAACAAGGTCCTCACTTCCTTAGTGACTCTAAATAAAGTAACAGCAGGTAAGACTTTTTCTTTTTTTTAATGAACTTGAGGGGGTGGGCTCCCATCATGAAGTAAACGTGACTGCTCATCGCTGCTTAAAGTTTTGAGTTACTTAGTACTTGTCAGCAGAAGGATCCAGTTGGCAGGTGGGGAGCTGGGGAGGGCTCCAGCCTGCACGTGGGTCTGTGCCATCATTGCTCAGGTTTGAGGGAGGCCCTGCGACTTGAGGTGAATGAGGGAATAGAAACCAGGACTGATGACTGTTAGACACAAACTACCTTTGTTTTATCCCTTGCATATGCAAAAGTATTTTTCCTGTGTTTTCCCCACTATCCTGTTTTCGTTTTTTTTTTTTTTTAATATCTTTTGGGCCAGAGTTTCTTTATGTAACCTGGCTGGTAAACTCATGAGCCTCCTATCTGCACCTTCTGAGTGCTAGGATTACAGATACGTGCCAGCATATCCAGCGTCTCACAGATTGTTGGTGTCATCCAGGATGCACTGGATCTCATGTATGCAGTGTTTTTATTTCCAGATTTTAAATAATATTAGTGACCCCTTTGCTACAGAATTGTTTGCTTTTCTCTTTGTTGGCTTCCTGCTGATAGTTTTTAAGTCAGTATTATGGAAGTGACTGTATCTTCCTAGATCCCAACTCTTAAGTGATTGCTTTAGCAACAGGACAGTTGCGTGGCTGTCCTCTGCTTTCATGCTTATGGCCAGTTTAGTCTGCATAATGAGATCCTATCTCCTAGAAGCTAGTAAATGAAGTGAAAGGTGCTGGAGGCAGTGGCTGGTTATAGCAGGGATTTCCCTGACAGGCAGGAATAGTGGGACTGCAGGCTTCAGCGGGCAGCTCTGCAAGAAATGCCCTCACTTGTTAAATCTGTACTTGGGGTAGCCCATGGTTTTTGTCTTCCTAAGTAGAAAATGCTCTGTGGAGAGCGCCCCCTGTATGTAGTGCCAAGTCCATCTGAGAGGCAGCTGCTGCTGTGGCCAGGATGATTCCGAGCAGGGTCCCATGCCCAGCTGGCTGTGAGCTGGCAGCAGTGTCTGGTAGGACCGGAAGGAAGAGGCTTGCCAGGCTCTTGTGCTGTGCTGCCCAGCCCTGAGCCAGGTAGACATTGGTAACATGGCTCAGGGCACCAAGAGCAGTGGCAGCACTGTGGATTTCTCTTATGTCTTCAGACTCTTAATTCAGAATTTGGAAAGACACTGTGTAAGCTGATCCGAGCAACTCCAAGAAAAGTGGGCCCTGGACCCATCAGTGTATTTTTGTGAAGGCTCCTATATCAGCATAGCCGTGTGTGTGTGTGTGTGTGTGTGTGTGTGTGTGTGTGTGTGTGTGTGTGTGTGTGTGTGTGTGTACTGTAGCTTAAAGTCAGGGACTCGCATTCTCACTCAGCTTGCTTAACATAGACATCTTGAACATTTTTATGCCCTCACTCTTCTATTTTTAAAAATCAAATCACCTTTAAGAAATGGACTGTGAAGCCAGGCGCTGGTGGCTCACGCCTGTAATCCTAGCTACTCAGGAGGCTGAGATCTGAGGATCGCGGTTCAAAGCCAGCCCGGGCAGGAGAGACCGTGA